CCACTTCTCCACCCTGCGCCCGGCCTCCTGGGTGATGCGGCAGCAGAAGACGCGGGAGCAGAGGACGCGGGAGCGGGAGGAGCTGAGCGGGTACCAGCGAATGAGGCGCCACCACCAGAAGCAGCTCCTGGGGCTGGAGACGCGGCTGCGGGCGGAGCGGGAGGAGCAGCGCCTCCGCCTGGAGAGGGAGCTGGAGAGCCAACGGGCCGCCGCCGCCGCCGACGCCGACAAGCTGGCCAGGAGGCACCAGGCCATCTGCGAGAAGGAGGTGGGAGGGGCTTAGGAGGGCGTGGTCCAAGTAGGTTCACCACGGGGAGATCCCATTGAGATCTACCACCATGAGAAGGTCATTATGGGGGTCCACCGTCCTGGGAAGGTCTTTATGGGGTTCCACCACCATGAGAAGGTCGTTATGGGGTTCCACCACCGTAAGGAACCCTCATTGAGATCCACCACGGAGAGATCCCATTGAGATCCACCACCCCAGGGAGGTCCTTATGGGGTTCCACCACCGTAAGGAACCCTCATTGAGATCCACCACGGAGAGATCCCATTGAGATCCACCAACCCAGGGAGGTCATTATGGGGTTCTACCACCATGGGGAGGTCATTATAGGGTTCCACTACCGTAAGGAACCCCCATTGAGATCCACCTCGGGGAGATCCCATTGAGATCTACCACCCTGGGGAGGTCGTTATGGGGTTCCACCACCCTGGGGAGGTCGTTATGGGGTTCCACCACCCTGGGGAGGTCGTTATGGGGTTCCACCACCCTGGGGAGGTCGTTAGGGGGTTCCACCACCCTGGGAAGGTTGTTATGGGGTTCCACCACCCTGGGAAGGTCATTATGGGGTTCCACCACCGTGAGGAAACCCCATTGAGATCCACGATGGAGAGATCCCATTGAGATCCGCTGCCGTGGGGAGGTCTTTATGGGGTTCTACCACCATGAGAAGGTCATTATGGAGTTCCACCACCCCGGGGAGGTCATTATGGGGGTCCACCATCATGAGGAAACCCCATTGAGGTTCACCACGGGGAGATCCCATTGAGATCTACCACCATGAGAAGGTCATTATGGGGGTCCACCGTCCTGGGAAGGTCTTTATGGGGTTCCACCACCATGAGAAGGTCGTTATGGGGTTCCACCACCGTAAGGAACCCTCATTGAGATCCACCACGGAGAGATCCCATTGAGATCCACCACCCCAGGGAGGTCCTTATGGGGTTCCACCACCATGAGAAGGTCGTTATGGGGTTCCACCACCCCGGGGAGGTCATTATGGGGGTCCACCACCCTGGGAAGGTCTTTATGGGGTTCCACCACTGTGAGGATCCCCCATTGAGATCCACCACGGGGAGATCCCATTGAGATCTACCACCATGAGAACGTCATTATGGGGTTCTACCACCCTGGGGAGGTCATAATGGGGGTCCACCACCGTGGGGAGGTCGTTATGGGGTTCCACCACCATGAGAAGGTCATTATGGGGTTCCACCACCCCAGGGAGGTCATTATGGGGTTCCACCACCATGAGGAAACCCTACTGAGATCCACCATGGGGAGATCCCATTGAGATCCACCACCATGAGAAGGTCATTATGGAGTCCCACCACCCCGACCTTCTCCCCCTTCCCTCCGCAGCCCCCGGACGGTCTCTACGACCCTTCCTCAGGGGGTTCCACCACCCTGGGAAGGTTGTTATGGGGTTCCACCACCCTGGGTGGAGAGGAACGTAGGCTTTGAGGAACGTCAAGAGGGTGAGAAGGTCCTGTAAGGAACCCCCATTGAGATCCACCATGAGGAAACGCCATTGAGATCCACCACGGGGAGATCCCATTGAGATCTATC